CTCCCTTAATTTTAGCTGTACAATAAATTATGATATGTATCCAGCTAATTTAGGAAACAGCTGAATATGGACTTTTCTATCTTTGGCTCGATATCCAACATTTCTCTATTAATTTCACCAGCATCTTGCATTCTGACTTCATTATGATGATCTTAATACTCTCTTGAATTGATGTTTATTTTGGTCAGCAAATGGTTGCCCGGTCCATGACACAACTCAATAACCAGTTACAGAGGATTAATATGAATCCACAAAAATATTCAGTAACCAACTATATGGCCCCTTTGTGTAATACTATAGAAAACATTTATCTTAACCCATATAGAGTAAAAGCCAACAATAGTTAACTTGTGACTTGTGTTTGTAAACTGTGACTTATTATTAATAATGAATTTGTTTTAATTTTGGTTCTTTAGTACTTATGTATATTATGGATTATTTAGTTTGTTTTATAATATTATAAACAATGACTACCCCTAAGATAAGATAGTTGGGAGAATCACACCACAAAAGTACTTCTTGTAGTTGGAGAGTCCGAGATTATCATGAGTGCAGAAGAAATATTGGCCAATGAGGTGCAGGGGAATACCCTTACACCTGTAGGACCTGTGGATGAGAATGATGAAATCAAGGTGACCCGCAAAAGTGAGAGGAAAAGACAACTGACTCTGTGCTCAATGATTACATTTGGAAAATAAAGTAAATATAAAAAGGAAAAATGGGAAATAGAGAAGGGGATGAAAGAGTGTGGCTGGTTCTACTTATTCTTCTTGCCCTCTTTGGGATTTTCTCCGTTCTGTTTTTATTTCATTATTTTTGCTGCTCTGGTATTTATATTCCTTGTATCTGCTATCACTACTGTAGTGTAGTGTTAGCCTTCTTCATTATATGTGCTATCACTACAATGATTATTATATCGAATTTATTGCTTTGGCCAACAGAGTTACAAAGATTCAAGATGCATTGTTAGATTGCTTTATTGATGATTGAGCCCAAGACCTTATAAACTTCACTCTATAATGTAGGGGTGGCAAAGTAATATGTTTATTTGTCATCCACAAGTAAATTCATCCATTACAAAAATAAAAGATAATGGATTGGATCAAATCCATCCCTTTAATTTATGGATGATTAATAATCTATTCATTATTTCTCCAACTCCAATGGATCCTCCTATAAATACTTAATGGGTCAAAATCTATCCAACCAAGATTTTCATAATTGAATCTTTCTTAACTTTACCTTTTTATAAAGTTTTCAGAATTATTAAATTTGTTTTACAAAATTCATTTTTGAATTTTTTTAAATATTGTTTTAAAAAATTATTTTTAATTCTTTTAAAAGTATTACTTTTATCTATGGATTAGATATTCATCCATGATAAACTTGTTAATGTATGAAATGGATTAGATTTTAATTAAATGCATTGAAATATTAATTAAACTTTTAATGGATCGGTTAGGGTATAAGGGGAAGGAGAAGTTAGTAAGATAGTATATTAATGAGTTAGTTAGTTGCATAAGGTATTGTTTAAATATAAATAGGGTGTGAAGGATAGGAGAAGGGAATTCATATTTTTTGTAAATTGAGCATTAGCTCTTTGTAAAAGGAGAAATCGGGGAAACCCTTGGAGGAGAGTCTTCTCCTATTTCTAGTTCTTTTCATTCTATTCAATAAAGAAACTTTCTTTTCTTTTTCTGTTTAATTCGTTCCTAACAAGATCAAAATGGATATTTTTATCCAATCCATCATAATCCGAAATAAAGTTAACCTTATCCATCAGTTTGTCACCCCTACTAGCTCAAGTATCATACCTTGCAATTGAATGCTAACATCCAACCATGTTCCGCAGCCCTAACACACACATGGGCTGGCCATGTTGTGCACCATGCCAGTAGCCCTTTTGACTAGTTCAGTCAAACACTGATCTACTAGTGTCACCACCTAGGCCACGCTACTTTTTTACAGATGAGAGACATGGTGGAAGTTTCTAATATCAATTTCTAAGAACCTTGGGAGAACCACACCACAAAAGTTGTCTGTTGTGGTTGGACGGCCCAAAGCCTTATAAACCCACACTAGAATTTCATGCTTCCAATGCGAGACTAAGGTCCCATGGCTTAATTGAGTGAAGCATCCTGATGTATCATCTTTAGAGCTGGCCACAGTGTGGCGCTATCCATGATTCATAACTATGTTCTAATTTATAACTAAAATTATGTTTTTCAAATAACAAATTCATGCCATTTTTAGGTTTTTCAAATTAAATTCCCTTTTGTACATGGCATATGTCCTAGTTATGAAATTTTAATAATAGAATAGTAAATAGTAATTTTCGATTGGTAACATGAATCAATTTTCACTTGGTAAAACAATTCTTAAAAGAGTATTTTAGAAGCAACTTTGAAAATTGTTTTTACTTTATTTGAATGAATATGTGTATTCTAAAAGTACTTTACGTCATAGTTTGCAAATTCCTTAATTTCTTCTGTTCTTTTTTCATCTCCATTATTGGAAATATTTTAACATTCAATGGCTAAGACAATACTGCTACTCTTTCTATTAAGGAGAGAATGCATATGACTAAAATTCAATTAGAAACCTCTTTTCTAGTATTCAGACGTTCAATATATTTGTTCATTGCTTGCAGTCACAAAGGATTTTTGCCAAAGTTTGTAAAGTATTTAAAGGATATGAATTTCCTAAGAGAAGATCTAATTTTCAGTATTCACAGTGAAGAGGTAATTTTAACATTTTCTTGTTACCTATAAATTATGTTTTTATTTTGTTCATTGATTTGGCTTTCCTGGAAAACATTGATAAAATGTTTCCAGACATGATTTTTCATTTGTATATTGATATCATCACAAATAAGAGTTTGAGCGTGTGTGTTGGACCCGAAAAGGAGGTCCAGGTGTTAAAGGAGGGACTTAAGCCAAAGACTTGGCACGTATACTATAGAAAGAGAGGGAAAGGAGTTAAGACAATTGTGAACATTAATTAGTTAGCACCAGTCTAGGATGGACATATAAATAGTATTATAACATACTGAAAAAGGGGGAACATTGATTCTTTGTTTGGGAGGCTTATCACTTTATTTAGATCATTTCTGTGTCTGGGATACTCTATATAATTGTTTCCGGATTCAATAGTTGCAATCCAATCTTCGTTTCTCTTGGCTTTTCTTGATTTTGATTTGGAATCTTATAAGTGTGCTTGCATATAAATATGCAAAGCGGTAAGAGTTGGCTGAGTTGTAAATTGCAGTTAAGCTCAACTTCATGACATTTTGGGTTTATTTACAAATACTTTTGTGTTATAAAGTTCATATATTGAAATTTTAGATTTTAATTGTTTGAAGGATTGAATAGGCTAACTTGAAGTGGTGCATGAATTTTCAGCAATTAGGAGAAATTGATGAAGGCGCCAACTAATTTTTACTTGTATTTTTTATTATTTGGAACTTAGATCGGTAACCAACTGGGATGTGTTTGCAAATATGCGTGTTATAAAATTCATATGTTAAAATTTTAGATTTTAATTGTTTGAAGGATTGAATACGCTACCTTCACATAGTGCATGAATTTTAAAAAGACCACCATTATGAGAAAATGATGAAAGCGCCAACTAGGTTTTAACTTACGATTTTTTATTAGTTGGAACTTAGATTTACCAACGGGAATGTGTTTGCATATTAAAAATTACTAATTTATAATCTGGCGACAATACCTAGAGGTGTTTAAAATTGAACCAATCCAAAAATAAAACCGAAAACCAATCTCAAAAATCTGAAAACTGAAAACTGAAATTTTTTGGATTGAAAATTTTAAAAATTGATTGGTTTGGTTTTCGGTTTGACAGTAAAAAACCCAACCCAACTGAAATTATAATTTATACTGCTGAAATTAAAACATAAAATGATATTTATTGTACGTACGCCATTAGTTTCTTATAATTTAGGATGTGTATTATTATTTAAATTAATTGTGAAAGCATATGAAAACAAATTAAAATTATGGATATCATAATAATTATGCATGATGTTTTTATAATATATTTCTTTATTTAATAGTTATTTTATTATAATATGTTTAATAACTTTATAATACAAAAATTGGGCAAACCAAACCTCAAAATATTAATTTAATTTGGTTTAGATTTTTTTAAAATTAAAACCAAACCGCATGAAATTTCATGTTTGGTTTGAGTGTCTTTTTAGTATAAATCGAACTAAACTGCATTGTGAACACTCCTACCAATACTTATATCTAATTTGTATGGTACTGAAAGCCTTCATCATCCTATATGGAGCTATTGGAGTATAGTACCACTGCTCTAGTTGCTAGTCTTTAGTATACTTGCATTGGATGCTTATAAACAGCTGAATCCTGAAACTAACTTTTTGTTAGTTCAAGTAGTTAGAAGTTGATTGAAGTAATCATATCTTTATTGTAATACATGAGTATATAGCTAGTTCTCATCCTATTCCAATATGAGCACATTATTTTTACAAGAATATTTTTTTGTATGCTCAAACTTCAATAGGAGTTCATAACCCCTCCATACTTCAAGTATACCTTTCTATTATTTTTGATATAATTATATTGCGATATACCTATTCATGAATCTAAAACTACTTGATATTTTTCTGTATTAATCTATCTCTGCAATATTTCTTATATTCATTGATAATATCTATTAGAATAGGCTTTTATTAAAAAGCTACTTTGAGTCATACCTTTTTGTACCTAGGGTCCTAGAGATGTCTTTACTTGTTTTATACTCTCTCTCTCTTTAATTGTATCTCAGATTAAGACTCTGTTTTCTGTATAAATAAGATAGCCTAAGAGACCTTATTCAAGCTTTCCAAAATATATTTTTTTCTATTTATTCATCTCGAGTTGGTATCATAATGGGTTGATCCCACTCTACTAGCCTAGTCCTGTTCGACAAAGAAAACGCTCACCATCCACCATTAGATTTAGAGCACCTTCTAAGCAATGACAAAGCTTGTTAGTCTCAAAGCTAGAAATCGCCTCATGCACCACAACACAATGTGTGACTTCTTTCTCATACAAAGGAGTTGTGTGTTTCCCACACACCACCTTCCTAATGCTGAAATGACACCGCGGCATCACAATTGTGATCATTGTCCTCTATAGGCTTCATTCTAGCCCTTATTTGTCCCTTCCTTACGAGTTGATTGTGTGACTCCCTTTTGTTCTTTGGGAAAAACTAATTATCTTGGTAAACATCTTTTGGACTTTGGTTTCTTGGTCAAGGATTTCATGATAACTTAAAAAAATATATTAGTGAGATCTCATAAAAAAGTAATACACAATGGCAAAAGTTGAACTTTGAACTCTATGCTCTATTATGTGTGTTCGTGAAATACAATATTATTGGAACCCTCATAACACTCAAAACATTCAAATCCTTTTCAAAGAAGGCCTGAAGTATTTTTACAACACGATTTCTTTGTATTCAACTCTTAAAAGTAGAAATGTTAAAGAGTTTGTTGAATCCAACACTATGATATCTACACGATTTCTTTGTATTCAGCTCTTAAAAGTAGAAATGTTAAAAGAGTTTGTTGAATTCAACACTATGATATCTACACGTGGAAGAGAAATTCATGGCACTAGACGAGGACGTGGTTGTAGAAGACTTCCTCATTGAACCTATTGTAAAAGAATGGGTCATACCCAAAAAAGTGTTATTCTCTACTTGGCTTTCTTGATCGGGTAGCCAATATTTCTAACTCTAAACTTGTTGAACTCAAGTTCTCTAATTAAGGATATCAAGAATTTTTTATGTTGAAATCCAACAACTTATCCCAATCATCTACAAACTCCAATTTATAAATGGCTTACATTTCATAATTTGTTGAAAGTCAAAGTCCGTGGATAATTGACTCATGTTCTTCTAATCATATTTCTAGTCATATCTCTTTGTTCTCTTCTCTTTTTTTTCCCTAAAACTCCTCATCCCATAACCTTCGCCAATGGATCTAAAGTTTCTTTTCAAGAAATTGGTTGAGTTTCCCTTTTCCATTAAACTTAAAATTTGTTTTTTTTGTTCTACATGTTCTTCAATCTTATTTCTTTAAGCCAATTAATTAAGTCATTAAAATTTTTGATACCCTTTTGTTGTCAATTCTTTTGTTAGACGACAAAAGACATGAATCAACTTATATTATTTTGGAACTAGTTCGTTACAATCTTGTTTTACATTCCTATATCATAAGTTTTACATGATTGCCGAGTCATCTTCACTTGTCAAAACTAAAGAATATAATTCTTGAACTTAGACTACTTCAAGCCTTATCTTATATGTTAGATCTTCCCAAACAATTTGCATCAAGATGTAGTTTTCTCTTTTCTGTCATCCATTTTTACATTTGGGGGGCCACCTGTGTCTTCTCTTTTGGATTTAAATATTATCTATCACCTTTATTGATGAGTATTCTAGTTCTTCTTGGGTTTACCTAATGAAAGATTGTTTTGAACTTTTGTTTTCTTTATGATTTTCCTTAATGAAATCAAAAATTAATTTGGCCAGGTAATAAAATTTTTAAGTAATTATACCATAGAATATTTTCCTCTTATTTCTCTACTCTTTTAAGCTCATCTAGCATTTTACATCAATTTACTTGTCCTTAGACACCTTAGCTTTACAGCAGAAAGGACAAATTAACATTTGGTTGAAATTGTTCGTATCTTATTGCTTGGTACTTATGTACTTGTCGATTACTAGGGTGATGCTATCCTTATTGCTTGTTTTCTTATTAATAGGATGTCATCTTCTATTCTCTTGAAAATAAAGCTCTTTATTCCATACTAATTCAAAAATAACACTTAGTTCATATTTCTCCACATGCTTTTGGTTGCATATGCTTTGTTCATGATATTCTCTAGGATAGGATAAGCTCTGCCAGAGCCATCAAATGTCTCTTGAGATATTCTTGTATTCTAAAAGGGTGTCAATGTTATTTTTTTGAAACCAAGAGGTATTACATGTCTACAAGTGTTTTTCTGCAAATCATGTTTCATTTTGATTTCTGGCCTATTTTTTTGTTGAAGTGCTTAGAATAGACTTTATTAAAAGTTGTTTAAGTTGTACTTATATGTACCTATGGTCCTAGAGATGCCTTTACTTTTTTCTACCTTTTCTCTCTTTAATTGTATATCAGATTGGGACTCCTTTTTCTGTATAAATAAGAGGACTTGAGAGAGAATTATTCAAGCTCTCTAAAATATATTCTCCCTTTTATTTATCAGTATATCTTTGTTAATTTATCTTTCTTTAGACAGGGTACTGATTCAGGAGTGGACACATACTTTGGTTTTTGCACCTATCCTGGACGGGAATTGCGTCATCGTATTGATCTAAAGGTGACAATTATAACTGTGAAAAGATTTAGGTTTTCCCTTTATCTTATCTTTCTTATGACATGTAGCATGGCATATTCTTTTGCTTTTAGTTTTATTTTCATGTTTTTTCTGTGTGCTACTGCTGGGATATTTAATCATTTACAGTTAGTTATCACTTAACCAACCATTGGGTTTTGTGGTAAAAATGTAAATGCAGTCCCCTCTCTTTGTTGCATAGCCACCTTTTAACATGATTGATTTTAATGCTTTTGCAGGTGTACCCAAGAGACATTTATGCATTTGGACTTATAGCTTGGACCGGAAATGATGTGTTGAACAGGAGGTATAGTTGCTTCTCTATGCACGGTTCCGTTTCTAGACTTTTGTCTTTTGGCCATGGACGTGGTAGAGCAGTTAAAATAGTATCTTTGGTATTGTTCTTTTGATTTCTTAGGGGAATCAGACTTTAAAATATAAACGGGAAAAAGAAACATTTTATAGAATATTAAGTGATCAGAAAGCCTCGGGTTGAGTTTTCACTAACCTCAATCCCTCTAATTATAGATTAAGGTTTGCCTGCAATTCATTATTCTATCGGATCTTCAGTAATTGGTGTTCAATCTCTTTTGATTAGTAAGAATGAATATAGAATGAGAAAACTAAAGTATTCATTACCAAAAGAGAAAGGGTGAAGAGAACTGACAAAATTTGACTCCACTTCATCCTCGAACTCACAGTCTTAGTCTCGTAGAAAGCCAATAGAAGAGTTCTCCAAAGCAAATAATACTAAAGAAACTCTAAATAGAAAAATCCCCGTGCTGTGAATAGATCACCCCAAGCTCTGCTGCATAAATAGAAAAGCTTTTAAAATCTTCATCTTTTAGCAGAGTAATGTTGTCTGTCAACACGGCCTGGATGGATGAAAATAGTAGTGCTGGATGACTTGATTTATTGTTTTTCGATATTTTGTTCTTTTCTTTTTAACTCTTTTTGTATCAAGTCTCTGCGTTTCAAGAACGGAAAGGAGCTTTCCTAATAAAATTATGAAAAAAATTCGCTTATTGACTCTTAAAAACCTGCAAAATATGGCTTATCATTTCACCTTCTGCTATCTCTATTTTTTTCCTCCTACCAGTGACTATACAGAACTTTTGGAAACTAGCTTTTATTATTTCCTTACATTAAGATGGTTTCATAACCATGAATCTATTGCATGGGGCTTGGTCGATGTCTTGTCTATCTTGGGTTGTCATTTCCAGCTCATGTATAGTTAACAAGTTTTGATTGTTTTTCTTATTCTGGGTGTTTGTGTGCAGGTTGAGGCTGGTGGCTGAATCTAAAGGATTCCGGCTTGATGATACCGGGTTGTTTCCAGCCACTCATGGTTCTGGCAGCAAACGGGTATGGCATAAAAGAATCTCTTATTAAATTTGCGTCATGATTTGCTTGAATTCTCACATATACTTTTGTTCCACTGAAGGGTGCAAAAGGTAGTGCAAGTTTGAAATTTGATACTGAAAAGGAGGTATTTGATTTCCTGGACTTTCCTTGGCTTGAACCACATGAAAGAAATCTCTAAACTACGCATGGTTTGTTAGAAATGTCCTGCTTGCTCTCTGCATTCAACTTCTAGGAATATGATGGTGATGTATTTAGCATATGGCTTTTGGTTTTCTTCGCAGGGTGCTTCTTTGAAAATGAATGTACAAGTAAGATACAATTCACATGTCTGACTTCAGTATATTTTTTGTAAAAAAATGGCTCCATAAGATGAGATCAGTTTTGCTGTGGGATTTGTTTAAAATATGTTAATTAGTTAATTGTTATGACTACACATTAATCATTGAGCTTACATATTGTTCTACAGCTAAACATAATTTCGTGCTATGTAGATACAATGAATCCTCCATCTAATCTGTGCATATAAAATTTATCAAATTGGTACCTCAGTAAATTGTTATAGCTGCGACCGTTATCTTTCAACCCCTTCCCCCAGCGTATTCATTCCCTTCAAGATGTGAAGGTCATGAAGCTCTTCCAACTCCAATCTTTCGGTGGTGGAATGCTATCCATGAATCTCATCTAGCAAGTAATGTTGCATCTTCTGAGCTTCAGAATTGTTTTGCCTCGGCCTCTGTAAGTGTATGAGAAATATTACCTCAATGCAAAAGTTTTGCTGGTTGCTACCCTAAACTTATGTATAATCCATGACTATACATTTTATCAAAAAGAAGTGCTTAATTTAGCCATGTTTTAAACAAGAATAAATTGAAAAACCCAACGTAGGTTATGTTTAGATAAGTTTCTCATAAAGACTTCTAAGTTAAAATTATTTTATTTTATTCTTAAATTAAATTGTACTCTTACAGTTTTTAACTTGTAAATAAGTTAATTTTAATTTATGGAGAAGTGAATTTGATGTTTTTCTTAATATTTTTTAATTGTAGAAATCTTTTGCAAAAGAATTTCCAAACGGATCCTTTAAGGTTTTAAAAATAATATAAAAAGTCGCATAATCAGGCTATTAAATGATACAAATTGTTATGTTTTATTAGAATTTTTAGGGAGAACAAAATTATGTAATACATGGTTAAGGATTTTTATGATTTATAGTTGTACTTTTATTCAAATGTGTTTTTGATAAGGTGTTGATAAATATTTGTGACTTTTGAGTACAATATGTATAATATCTCACTTCTTAGTTTTTTTTTTTGAAGTAAATTCTTAGACTTTTATCTTTTTGTCATCACAACTTTTTCTCTTTATGTTGAAGGCTGTGTAAAAATTTATGTATAGTATTTACTCTTCTTTCATAAAAAAATATAATTCTAATAAATTTTAAATTAATCAATTGAAAATTTTCATCTTAAATATTACTTTATTACGAAAATTATATATGTGAACATATTGTTCAAATCTTACTAGAAAAGATGGAGGTAAAATCCATTTATCTATTAAAAAAATAGAAAATCATTTATTACATTTTTTATTCAACTTTTGTCATTTTTTATTGTCTTTCATAGATTTCGATTGAATTCTCTCAAATCTTACAAATTTAAAATTCTTTTCAATAAATTTAAATATATATATATATATATATATATATATATATAAATCATTCAAATTTAAAATATAAAATCACCATAATAAATTTATTTATTAATAATAATTAATCACTAATACTTTATATTTATTATTTTTTAATATAAAATTAAGATAAATTATTATTTTAAATTATTAAATTAAAAAATAAAATAAACCATGTAACGAAGAATAAGTGTATTACTCTTAATTTTAGAATAAATGTATAAATCATAAAATTTTTACATAATTACTACATCAATAAAAGAATTTATGTTAAAATAGTGTTTACAAAATTAACCAAATATGTAAGGCATCTCCCATTAAAGGGCAGATTTTTTCTTTTTTAAATCTTATTCTTTTAAAACAAATGAGATATATTTCCCCTTTTTATCCCCATTTACTATTTTATTAGTTTTTCTCATCTTCTCTATTCTAAATCTTTTTAAGGATGTCAAAATAAGCTTAGTTTGATGATCAGGTCAAGTAAAAAAATTTGATGATTTGACTTAACCTATATTTTAAAACAAATCAAATATTTTATTCTACCCTAGCCCTATGTTAGGCTAACGGGCCAATTTTTGCCCGATTATATTTTAAAGAAAATTAATATATCTATACAAAATTAATTAATTAAAAATATATTTAAATAAAAATAAAAATATATTTTAATTTTTAAATTCTGTGAATAAAATTAGTTTTTATTTAAGATATAATGATTTAATATATAATTATAAGAGAATACATCAGTTCAATGTCAAAATAATAATTAAAACTTATTCTTTATTATTATTATTATTATTATTTATTTTTTAGTAATTTACTAATTTAAAATAATAATTAATCTTAATCGTTAAATCTAGTAATAAGTGATAATTAAAAATTTAATTTGATATTTACTCTTAAATAAGTAAATTCCTATCAAATTAATTTATAATATATATATATATATATATATATATATATATATATTTAATAAAATAATATTAATTATATTTTTATTTTAAAAATAATTATTATTCTATAAAATTGACTTACCCATAAGTCTATAAGCTAACTTGACCTAATACCATATAAGTCATGACCTGAATAAGTTTGATTAAATAAATCTAAATCTATTTTACCACTTATACCTAGATAGACTTAAATCAAACTAGTTCGATGAACTGATCCATTTTATAAAATAATAATAATTTTTAAATAAAATTAATATTATTATTTCATTAATATATATATTATAAATTAATTTAATAAAGAATTTATTTATTATAAAAGTAAATATAAAAAGTTTCTCTTCTCCACTTATTTAATAATTATATGAATCATTATTTTAAATTAATAAATTATAAAAAAAAACTATTCTAAATCAATAAATTATAAAAAAACTACGGAATACAACTCAAACTCGTCCTATGAACTCTAACTCGTCCTGGAAACAATACACGCAAGACTATTTTCAAAATCTTCCGTTCAAATTGGCCTGACTAGATTCCACTATACTTAGTTACTATAGTTATAAAGATCAATGAAAAAGAAACTTCAAATGATAATAGTTTTGTTGATTAAAATATATTAATAAAATAAGTTTTAAATTATTTAATTATAATCTCAATTTTTAATTTGTGAACAATAGTTGTATTCATACCATTCATCTAGTGTATCTAACTTTAAAAGCTAAATTTGACTCGATGAGTTCGCCCATCAGCACAGATTAATCTCAATGTTAATCTTACGAAGATCACAGCACAAAGCCAAAAATATAAACAAACAAAGGTAAATCTCATGATACAATCAAAATATTATATAATATATTCCAACAGGAAAATACAGAGATTGTAACTTTTGGAGTTGCATAATCACAGATTAAGAGAAAACATAATGAAATAACTCAACATACAAGTTAATGATCAAAACTTGGTACCACAGGACTATACTTAAATTCACCAGATCCTTCTGGAAACTTGAATGCGCTCAAATATATTATATATAATGAAAAAATGGAACATGACCCTAATGTACAAAGGAATCCTCCCTGACCATAAAACAAGAGAGAACTTGTTTCTGGGTGCGCTCAAACAAGATTGATAGTGAACGAGACATAAGGGTGGGCATCGGCATCACCTACTACTAGTCCAGCCATCCCAACCCCTTCATCCTCGGACTTCCAGTAACCACTGCATGGGAAATATGAAAGGAACAATAACAAAATGAGCATACGTGACATTAAAAAGAACTATAAGGAAAAGGAACAGAAAAGAACTATAAATATGGCCGATGTGGCTCAAAACATAGGAATTACTACTTGAATTTCTGAGGAGCATGTTGTTCCGTAATGCTACTACTACACTGCCTTTATATTGCAGGAGTAGGAGTAAAGCGGAGTTGACAGATAGCAATAATAATAATAATAATAGTAAAGCAACACAGCGAGGAAATTGAGTTTTGGGTTTCCCGATAATAATGGGCTGCCGATGCCGACAAAAATGTCAGGCAATGAAATGATGCTTCATTGTAAAAAGGAGCATTGGATTTTTGGAGAGAAAGTTACAAGAATTTGACAAGAATACACAATGTTACACAGAAGTACGTTTGCTTACTTTCTCTCTCTTTTTCATCTGGTTCTGAAGGGTGCCAAGTGTCAACATCTCAAAAATAGTTTGAAATTAGTCAAGGATTCTGCTAATTGATTAAGAAATCACCAAATATGGTCGTACTCTTTTTGATGTACAGAAGTATGAAACTTGTTGAGTTTCTGATGCATTTACCAAATTTTACGTAAAAGATGCGATAAACTGTAACCTAAGACAATGCCCAACACGCACATTTAGTGTCAAACTCAATTTTTAAAAAGCAGTTTTCTCAAGCATCGCATTTTCTTTGATATCTATACGAGGTAAGATGCCAAAGAAGGAGAGAGAAGGGTCTTGATCCCACACATGCCTGTTCCGTCGCTTAAATTAAGCTTGGGTAGGGTATAAAATTTAGCACATCTATTTCAAGCCTCAGACAAAATAATCTCTTACCTGTTTGTGCTATCGCTGAACCCTTCAAGGATAGAGCGCAATTTCTTCTCAGCTTTGACTGATGGAGCTAAAACACATGCCTGGATGACCACAGGAACCAAAGGTCAGTGATAAATATTTGATGATAAATGAAACTGAAAGCTGTAGTAAAGAGTATATCTAACCAAGAAAGATGGTGGAAGACCATATCTCAGAATGCTCTCAGTAAATACACGTACTGCACAGAAGTGCATCCAGGAGCTGAAAACCTTTAGTAAACAAAAAAAGTAAGAATATCAAATCAGAAATTACAGCATTTAAGATAACAGGGCAAGCACAAGAGAGAGATCATAGAACTCATTAATATTTTATGATAGTGAGAACAACAAAATTTTCAAAAAGTAAACAAAACGTTGAAATTTTAACTGAAAAATCAAGGACCGCTAAAAATGCCAGCAGTGGTTAGTCAGGGAAAAGGCATCATCAACATATAAGAAATCCAGGATGCAGATTGCGCTAGTAAAGTAATAGACTATAATTGATTTCATCATCTGTGCTCGTTTTCTTCCTGCTACCTAAAAATTGTGCATTGTAATATTTTGGACATACATTGACAAATTACATGATGTGACAAATAATGAATAATACCTCTCCATAACTGGTATAACACCACTGCAATAGAGAGCCCCTCAAACTCTCCTGATCTTCCATCAATTTCTCTAACTCTTGCTTCCGACTCTCATGTGTTTCGGGACTATATTCGAAATCACGAATCTGAAGCATGATATAAAATTCCATTAAATACCTTTTCGTTAACTCACAAATTGATATTGCGCACTTGGCATCACATAACATGTCTCATGCTTTCCCATATATTTCCACAAACAAGTTACTGGATAAATCTAAAAATGATAACAATTTTACCAATCCTAACAAACTGAATACAGTATATGCAGAAAAATACTTACTTGGAACCCTTTTTCTCGTGCACTAGTTTTAAAATTGTCTGCAACACGACTGAAGAGTGTTACAGTATAAAGAGCATATTCATTATCCTCGTACAACTTCTTGGAGGACCTGGGAACCTAAAATACTTATTTTAATCAGCATTTAAAAAAAAAAAAAAAAGGCAAATGATTGTGTTCAGAAATATTTCAGAGTTAAAAAACATGGTTGGACTATTAAATTAAAGAGTTTACTTATATTAATCAAAAAGAAAAATATTGTGAATCATCATTTATAATAATCATGGGTAAGTAGCAGGAGAGATTTGAGTATGAGAAACTATGGTAACTCTTACCACATAGTTTGTCAATGTTTCGTAGCTTGAGAGCCAATCCTTCTGTGAATACTTAGGAACAATTGCAAGAAGGGTAGCCAAATTTTCTGAAGTTATAATATCCTCAGGTTTTACCAAGTTGGAAAGATCACGGACAGCTAAGCTAAAACAAGCAAAAAGGGCAGATAAGAAATATATAAGAGTATTATATTAGAAATTCATGATCGGCCAATAAACAACATTCACACCTTCCAGTTTGTTTTCGGTTGATGGTATTAAGCTGACTGCGGATATTGTTATACTCAGACACACGAACCTGCCATAAAACAAAGATTAAGGGCAAAACAGAAAATTTAATCTGCAATGTGTAAAATGGGGATTCTGTATTATAAATTGGTCATCAGCAATGAACAATGTCATTCTTTTCTTTTGTCTTTTGGAATGGAACAATTTTAGCAAGAGCCACTGAAATGTCTGGTCAAAACAATTGCATATGGCACATAGAAAGCCTTTAATTTTGATTCAAGGGCTGAAAGAGAAGACTTCCAAATTCAATTCAATCTACATTGTGCAAAATGGGGATCTAAGTCCTTTAAAACATGAAAGATTGACTCTCATTGCTAAATGATTTCACTCAAATGTATGGTATAGATTACTCAGAGAGTTCTGCTCCAGTGGCAGAATTGAGTACAGTCAGGTTAATATTATCTCTTGCTACAAATAATTGCTGGTATTTAGAGCAGTAAGATGTGAAGAATGTTTTCCTAGGATCTTGAGGATGCCAATTCTGTTTGCAGGTAAAAAAAGGTTTATATGGCATTGAAACAGTCTCCACATCATGGCATTGAAAGAAGAATATATTCAAGAACACCTTCAAGATATGGTAGTCAAGTTGAAGAAGATGAAGAATTGAGGTTCCATAGGAGAGGACAAATGTTCCTAGTCCAAAGAAGTCAAATGTTAATGTCAAACTTCCTAAATTTCATGACAATAGTGATCCAAATATGTATTGAGAATAGGAAGCTAAAGTAGAACAAATTGTTTGTGTATAAACTGGATGCCATGGCAAAATGGTACAATTAGCTTCTCTAGAATTTGAGGTTTATGCCATGGCAATGGCATGTGGAGCAAACTACAAAAGGGCATTGAGCATCAGAAAAGGCCAATCGTGGCTTTTTGGAATGATCTTAAAGTATGCATGGACAAACAGCTTGTGCCTTCTTACTATAACAAGGAATTTTTTTTGAAGTTTCAACGACTTCAACAAGGAAGTAGAAGTGTGTAGATGAGTACTATAAGGATATAAAAACAATTATGATGAAATCTGATTTAAATGATGAATCTTTAGAGGCTAAGATTGCTAGATTTGTGAGTGGTCTTAGAAGAGAAATTCAAGATGTAGTAGAACTATAAGAGCATCAATCTATTGAAAAATTGGATTAAAAGAAAGAAAATTAAAAGACATGCTAAAAATAATGGCTACTACAACTTTTCTTGGAAGGATAAAAGTAAATTGAAAAATAATAAGATTACTTCCAAATCTCAAAAGTTCACTCAACCAAGTGTTTCAATAAAGAGGAAACTTTTACAACTTCTACTTCGCAATCTTCTCAAAAAACAAGCTCTATAAAATGTTTTAAATATTTGGGTTATGAACATGTGGCTGCAGAACTTTCATCCTCAAGAGCTATGTTTTTGAAAGGAAAAGAAGTAGATAGCAAACATTTTTCCCCTCCTATTCTTCTCCTAGTTCTCCTACCTACTCAACTATGTTATCCCTTGTAAAAGTAATTTGTTAATAGTGAGAAGAATGCTTGGTCAAGTCTAAAAGGACTTTGACAATTCTAAAACAAAAAATATTTTTCTTACAGATGTCTCATCAATAACAAATTATGTTCACTCATCATAAATAAAAGTTGTACCAGTGTAACTAGTACATGAGTAGTAGAAAAACTTAGTTTGTCTATAATCTTTCAAATTAAACCTTATAAACTTCAATGGTTGAGTAAGAAATGTGAAATAATTGTGAATAAACAAGTCCTCATAGTCCTTTCCATTTTTTTATTGGTAAATATAAGGATGAGGTTTTATGTGATGTTGTGCCTATGGAAGTTACTCGTATTTTACTTAGAAGACCTTGGCAATTTGATGGAAAAGTTTTTCATGATGGCCTTACCATCAAATTTGCTTTTGAATTCAAGTAGCATAAGATGACATTAAAATATCTAACTCTTTAAAAGGTCAATGAGGATCAAAAACCAAAAGAGACCAAGCAAAAAGGGAAAGGAGGCCAACAATCAAGGAAGGGAAAAATAAGATGGATATTGGATCTTTTAAAAAGAATTAAAAAAGTAATCCTTGCTCAAAAAGAGTTTACCGGAAAGAAGAAAGACACTGACAAAAGTTAGAAAAGATAGAAAGGATAAAAAAAGAGAGAAATGAAAATATCCTACAGGAAAATAAAGAGGGAAAGATAGAAAATGAAGAAAAAAATAAGTAATTACAAATGAAATAAAAGATAATGAAAATCATCTTATACTTGTTTGTAAAAATTATCATTTTAAAAAAATAGATAAAAAGATTCTTAGTATTCCAAAAAACACATTTCTCTATGTACTAATCATAAGAAACCTATTAGTTTGGTTGAGAATAAAATTTACCTATTTGGATTGAATATAGTTGTCCATTATTTGCATTGGATTGATTTGATTGAGCAACTTATGAATAATCATCAATTTTTGATAAATTTTTATAAGGTTGTATTTAATCGTGGAGGAAGATTTACAAGCAATTTGATCTCATGTTTGCATGATAATAAAGACTAAAATTTGTGGATCAATTCTCTCCAAGATGTGGAAGATGATGTATAAATGGAGAAGAGAAAAATGAAAATTACAAAAAGAATAGAAGGGTCATGACAAATAAAAACTATTTTGTTCTCAAAAATGTATTACTTGATAATTAAAATTTATTTTCTTTAATTTGTAATTTAGGTTTAATTGTCCAATTAGGGCATATTTGGGCCTTCATTAGGGACCAACAAGAAGGAAGCATCTTCGACCAAGAGCAGGCTAATGAGGAGCACATGTGGGCTTCAATTGCATTACATTCCTAGTCCAATTTGAGTGATTTTCATCCAAGGCAGAGAAAGGAGCAACAAAGAACATATGAAGCAGGCAAGTAAAGTGTGACCAAAGACCATTTAGGCAAACCATTTGAGTGATTTTCTTCCTTTGGGTTAAACATACTTAGGCAAATCATTTAGTTTTTATAGTTGTACCTCCCTTACAAAAACATTTACTAAATTATATATGTTAATGACTAATGGTGCTACTAGAATCTTGTAATTAAAGACACACTTAAGTAACCACTTTCAAACCTACGACCTTGGATGTCTCATACTTTCTGCACATCAAACTGGCTCAATCAAAGGAAGACATAATACTTTCTCAAAGGAAATATGTTTAGATATTCTAGAAGAAAAAGGCATGATTGCCTATGGACTAGTAGACAACCCTATGGTTCAAAATCAAAAGTTAAAGGTAGATTATAGTGAACCTCTTTCTAATCTAGAGAGATGTATAAGACTTGTTAGAAATTTATTTATCTCACTATTAATAGACTTGATCTATCTTTTGTAGTTGGTGTTGTTTGTCAATTTATGTAAAATCTTTTTATTGATCTAGTGCTATGTAAAATTCAATTGTTTGATCTAGTGCTGAAACTAAATATAGGACGATGACATCTCTCACTTGTGAAGTTGTATGGGTGAAACAATTTCTTCAAGAACCGCAATCTTGTGAGATCCAACAAATGATGTATTGTGAAGAAACTCTCCACATTGCCTCTAACCCTAGATTCCACGAGAGGCATAATTAATCACTTAAGCTTTTTTCTCATTTTTGAAACTTAAGTGGGGTTTCACATTCACTAACACATATAATAAGGTATTTGACAGCTTTGCTCCATTGATTTTTATCTAGTTTCTTTGTTGTTTTCTCTTTTGTTCTTTTTATGTTGTAATTAAAGACCTTATTATATATGTTAATGACTAATGGTGCTAGTAGAATCTTGTAATTAAAGAAACACTTAAGTAACCACTTTCAAACCAAAGACCTTGAATGTCTCATACTTTCTAGACATCAAACTAGCTCAATCAAAGGAAGACATAGTACATTCTCAAAAGAAATATATTTACATATTCTGGAAGAAAAAGACATGATTGACTATGGACTAGTAGACAACCCTATGGATCGAAATCAAAAGTTAATGGTAGATCATAGTGAAACCTCTTTCTAACCTAGAGAGATATAGAAGAATTGTTAGGAAATTTATTTATCTCACTATTAATATACTTAACCTATCTTTTGCAGTTGGCGTTGTTTGTCAATTTATGTAAAATCCTTTTATTGATCTAGTGCTACATAAAATTTATGTCAATTTATGTAAAATTTAGTTGTCTAATCTAGTGCTGAAACTGAATATAAGACAATGATATCTCTTACTTGTGAAGTTGTGTCAGTGAAACAATTCCTTCAAGAACTACAATCTTGTGAGATCCAACAAACAATGTATTATGAAGAAACTCTCCACATTGCCTCTAACACTAGATTCCACGAGAGGCATAATTAATCACTTAAGCTCTTTTCTCATTTCTCACATTTATGCTGGGTTTCACATTCACTAACATGTATAATAAGGTATTTGACAGCTTTGCTCCATTGATTTTTATCTAGTTTCTTTGTTGTTTTCTGTTTTGTTCTATCTATGTTGTTAAATTTATCGGCTCCCATTCCTTTTGTCTTTATATATAAGAGAGAGAGATATGGATATGGATATATATATGCCCCTCTGTTGTGTATCAAACAGGGATTTCATTTGACTCTACCATATAAAAAGGAGGAGATTTGCTATCATCCTCTTTTTAGTTTTTCCTTTGTCTTGAAGAATTCCTTCTTTTATAAAAATACACGCATCCAGCACCACCAAACACAATAAGGCACCACTGCCATTTGGCACTTTCCTTGGTGGCCCTCCCTAAGCACCAGCAAGCACAAACAGCCTCTGTCACTTGACCATCTGTTGATTGTCAGAACATGCAAACAGAAAGCCAAGAGAGAGCTGGCAGAACCAAAAAGAGACTAGACCACTTTCTTTTTTACTATACAAAACAATTTACTATTAGGACAGACTAAGAATAGGGTTTTATGAAAAATAAAACCATACAAAGTGTTCCAGGAATTCAAATATCAGAAAGGAGATATGCCCTCCCAAGACAGATGGTACTACTATGATAGAATGGAGTTTAGGTTTAGGATTAGGGAAAGGAGGGAGAAGCTGGTAGATAATAGTAGAAGTACTACATATATGATAGATAGAGAACTGTGATAATACCCAGACGGAAAACTGATACCAATAACTCAAATACTCTAATACAAATTAAACAAATATTGAGTCGAAATTTTGAATAAATGAAATATGTATAAGTGATTCTACACAATTTAACTCAAATATTGAATGAATGAGTTAACTCAAATACAAGTTAAGTAATGTTTTAATTGTAATTTTGGTTTCAACCATTTCTTCCTAATAGTTTCAATTTTACATTTTGATCCCAAACTAGCCCCCCTATTAAGTTCCAAAATTTGCCGCTGTTGAAAATTGATGCAAGAGTTTTAAGATAAAGACAGTATATGCTGCTAAATAGCTATCACATCAAGAAGGTCCTTTGTTCATGGCTGAAGGTGTATCACAATAAATTGTTGAAATTTAAGGAACTAGTAAAATCTATCAACCTAAACCAACAAATTGTATGATGCGTCTACAAGATGAAAATGGCCAAAGATTATTAAAAATGAATTCATAAGACGTCACAGATTCGGATTGCATGAAACCTAATTTAGTGTGTAAAGACCACATCAAAATTAGAGCTGACCCACTTGGCATGATAGCAACAACTCTCTTATCCAAGTGTGGAAAAAATAAACATTATCGTAGTAATCAAGAAGGAAAAGCACAATACTTGACCTTCCTCAATAGTAAGCAAGACAACAAAATTAACACAGGATTACATGTACATCACTGTAAAGAAAATAGTCTACGCAATCGGCCCTCACACAACGAAATCAAATTATGTCCAAATATGCGCGAGAAATATGAATAACCTTGAGATCATCCTCAATCTTTGCCACCTGACCGTGAATGCCATCCACAATCTCCTTCAACGGCGACATAGTCGGGTACCTGGCTTCATCCCAAACAAACCTGCATCCACCACAGCACCACTAGATCCTCATCACACAACAACAAAATCATCAGTAACAGATCACAGTAGTCACAGACTCCAATCGAACAAACCTCGTCAGGTACGAATCAACAGGGACTCCATCCACCGTCAAACTACTGCTCACCACGCCGGATACTCTCTCCAGATCCTCAATCTGCCGCCTGATCTTGTGCGATACTCCCTCCACGAAATTGTTCGACTACACACACACATACAAAACAGATCAAGCACAGAAAATCACTAAACAATTAACAAGGTCTAAGAAATCCCCAACCGCAGTCGCAGCAACAACGTGACAACGTTCCTCCGTAATTTTCCGCAATATTAAGGATAACACCGGAACCGTAATCATAAACAGGTAAATAATGTGCTGTGATTGGGGGGGGGGGGATTTTACGCACCTTGACAAGATCGTCGCTTAGAGAGAGAAGAGAGTCTAGGGTTCCGACGCGGAGATTGGGGATGTTGAACTGCGAAATAGGAGAGAAAATGAGAAGAAAAGAAGAGACGGTGGTTGATTATATAATGTGATGCGCTGAGAGAAAAAAGAGAGAAAGTACTCTGTAAAGAGGAGTGTCGAAAGAGTGTTTGGAGATTTGCTCCTGCAATTTGTTCCACAGAGTGGATGCGGAATTCGGAACGGGGAGAGACACTACCCAGTACCTCGTCGCCATTCGACCTTTTTTTCTCCGATCAGGCGGGGAAATGAAATTTACAGAAAGACCGTGTTTGTTTGTCGGCGTTGTGGTGATGGATAGTTTTAACGTGCAATGCAATTAGTTTTTGTTTTTATTATTTGGGTGTGATTGCATGAATGGGTGGTTTTGGAGTAAAAGAAAACGATGAAAATGGAAACAACAGGGGAAAAAAAAAGAGAGATATTAAACACATCAAATTTGGAAGAAATTTTAATTATTTGGTTTGATAGAAATAAAAATTAGCAAGAGAACATTTTATTTTTCCCTTGTTTGCTTTTACGAAGACATGCATAAAAAATATAATTTTAGATAGAGTAATAAAGTTTTGACAGTACTATTCTGAACCTATTATTATAATAATATTTATTATTTTATTATTATTTATGATTGGGGTTGGAAGTGTCGAATATAAAAATATTATCACCCATTGAGATAGGTTGTCAATAGTTACACTAAAAAAACAATTATAATAATAGTCCCGTAAGATTTTACATTGAAATTGAAATCTATATGTAGTGAATAAGTAATTAATGTATTGTAGTTTGAAAATGGAATTAATTACTTGTATAAAGTATTATATTAATTAATATTTAAATTTTATTATTATTTTTTAATTCGTTCTATTTTATACAAGTAAATCAATATAGTATTTTATATTAATATTATTAAATGCTAATGAAAATTATAACGTAACATTAATATTTTATTTTAATGAAATGATATTAGTATATTAAATATATTGCTTATAAATAAATATATATATATATATATATATATATTATTACGATATATATTAATTTGAATATTGAAGTCAATATTAATATCATGTTGACATTTATGTAGTGTCAATTCAATACTATATCAATATCAGATTAGAAAGTGTGATCACATCAATGTTACGGTGACTTTTATTAGAGATTTTAGTTTATTTCTCATAAATGTATATTTTGTTTATCTTATGGGTTGAATTATAAGGAATCCTAATTAAAAACTTGAGTTATATATCAAAAATCAAACCATGATGTATTGTGTGAAACTTAGTTACATTTTATTGAATATATACAAAATTAATAATTTTACCTTAATTTTCGAACCAACGCTTCCTATTTATATAATCCTTCAAAAAGTGTTTAGGTATTTCCCATAAAAATGACAACTATTATTTTTTAATATTTTCTTCTGAATTTTCAGATATGTTTTATTAATCTCTGATAGTCATTTGTCTGTATCATATTTATTCATACATTTCTTTCTATTAATTCTCTCAATGACTTACATAATATACTGAATAACTTCTTTTATTCTTAAGCTTCATTTCTTAAAATAATATAAAATTCATACATTATTCATTTATCTTTTACGGTATTATACTTTTTTTGAAACTGATCATACTCACGTTATATTGCACTTTTCATTTAAATAACTTAATGAAAAAAACTACATTAACCTACTTTTAACAAAAGAGACTAAATTGACATTGAAAATAATAATATGATCAAATTTTTTTAAAAATATTAGAATCAATGAATTAATAATTTAAAAGTCTAGGAAATATAATAGTTAATATATAATATTTGTTTGGTGGTTAAAGAAAATGGTTGGATTCGGTTGCTGTACACGAAATTGTTCAATTCCTTCATAATTAGCTCCAACTTTTAAAATTATATTAATATTTTTTTTACTTTATTTTTTTCTTTTATAAAAACAAAGGAATCATAAAAAGAAATTTATTCTTGCTTTTTTGTTTCAAGTGAATCTTAAAACAAATTTAATATTTTCATTATTTTTTAGCAAACTTAACTAAACATATTTGATAAGATTAATGTCATGTAATTTCTCCTTCCTCGTCTTGTTTTAAAAAGAAAATCACTTATTAATGAAAAACACTTTTATTACATTTTGTAGTTGTATAAACATAATTTAAAAAAAATCTAAAAGATAATAATGTTTATTAATAATTTAAAATAGATTAATTATAATTTTCATTATTTCTAATAATCAAAAGATAATGAATTTATTTACATAATGGAATCTTCCTAGTAAGAAATAACACTTATTGTTCTTTCTCATTATATTTCATTATTATACACTCAATACTAATTTGAGAATTGGAGTACTCTTAGCAAGTGAGTCTCTATTTCATAATCGATCATTAAAGTCATCATTTTTTATAACATTTTTCATCTAAAATTTATATCGAATTGGAAGAAATATTTTTAATATATTATGAAATTGATAACATATATCTAGTATACTAGTTAATCTGACTTTTGTTCATTCTTTCGATTATAACTTTTCTATACGTATTCTTTTTTATTGATTTAATTTGCACTGATTCTACATTTCCAAGCTTTCAAATGGATACATGGTTTTTGAGATTTAATTGTGTTATTTTCTAAGATTTTTGAAAGTGAAGACAAAATTATTGAAATTTTATAAAGAATCCGTGCAAATCTAATTTTTCTTTGTATTAACTTAACGTTTATAATGGGAATTATAGATCTAATTAGAGTCAACATATAAACTCGTGTTTAATTCAAATTTGAGAGCGTATAAATAACTTAAATGTATTCTAAACTCATCCAAAAATTATGTTATTAGTTTTCCAATTTAGGAAGTGTCTTTACATCTTTTTTATCTCTTCTTTCTTAATTTTCTTTTTTACTCTTCTTATTCTTCTCATTTGTTCCTAGTCCAAATTTCTCTTAAGTTCTTCATCCATGGAGAACTAAATTTTGAAAAATTAATTTACAGAATCAAGATCAAATATGCCAATTTGAGTTTTGCACCAATAGTTTATCGCTCCGAGTTTATTCTTCTATTTTCTAATTTGGTTTTGCACTTTGTGATATTAATTTATGAATCTGATTTTAGAAATCAAATTAGGAATCCATTGAATCTTGATTTGATAATTAAATATAGATTAGATTGAATGATATGAGTTAATTCATATAACTAATTTAGTTGATTTAGATTTTTAAATTGAAATCTTTAAAGAACTATGATAAGATGATTGTTTGGTGATTAAAACCATGTATTGATCAATTTCTATCTTTCTGATTTTTATTTAGCTTTTCAATTATTGTTTTACATTTTTAAACCCCCAAATTTAACTTCTACGGGAAGAAATCTAAATATTGAATACATTTTAATATATGTTCTTGAGAATAATGACTTAAATTTGTGCTTTACATTACAAAATATTTATAATTATTAGCATTAACACTTTAATGTGAAGAAAAGAATATAATAGAGAAACTGATTTTCTTTCTTATTGATAGAAGAAGTATATACAAGGGTATATAAAGCTTAAATAAAACTATCTAACTGCATGATAGTTATTACAGTTAAGGAGAATATTGGATTAACTCAACACAGCCCCTTAATCCAAATTCTCCATAGATTTTACTACTAATAAGTCTCTCAATTTTTCAAATCCGTTCTGTCTCAAAGCTTTGGTAAAAACATTAGTTATTTGATCTTCTATAGAACAGTGTATTAGTTCCAATCTTCCTTTACTGACTTGGTCCCTTAAAAAATGAAATTTTATCTTAATGTGTTTACTTCTTCCATGAAAAATTGGATTCTTGGACAAACAAATAGCAGATTTGTTATCTATTAGAAGTTGTATTGGTTTTCTACACTTTAGCTTCAAATCATCAAAGAGTGTTTCCATCCACACACACTGACAAGTTGTTTTTGCAGATGCTATATATTATGCTTCGCAAGACGAAAGTGTCACCATGCTTTGCTTCTTAGAGCACCATGAAATTGGTGTTGCCATGTACTTGAAGAGATAGCCAAACGTACTCCTCCTATCAACTTTATCACCATACCAATCTCAACCTCACCAGGTGAAAACTACAGATTCAAGCCAAACTAAACAGAAATAACGGTATAAAAAACCCTAATAAACCAAGATCCGATTCAACTAACAGAGCCACCAATTCAATGATTCATATGCAAATAAACTAGACCCAAACATAATAGGTATTTAACTAAGCAAAACAATTTAGACTCCAAAAAACATAAAAGAAAGAGGATTAAAGTAGAAAGGTGTGAACCACTAGGCTTAATCTGCAACCTCTCTATCTCACCTCTAGCTCACAGCGAGCTCAGTGGCACAATGGGGGTGGGTTGGAGCGAGGAGAGGCAGTGACCGTAGCCGGCATCGAGGTGACTCACGTTCCGAGTTGCAACGATGCTCGTGATGGGGCGCGAGAGGGGTTGTGGTGGCATGGTGACTTGGAGGTTGATCTGCGGTTGGGTTCGCGATGGCCGGCTATGGGCAGTGGTGCACGTTGGTTTGGTCCGAAGGGAAAGATTCAACACAGGGTGAGGGAAGCGGAGCAGAGTGGAGACATTGGTGGTGAGGAGTGGGGGTTGGGACACTCGATGGTGGTGATTGTCGCGGCTGACGAGGAGCTTTGGTGGAGGTTGGATTAGGGTGAGGTCGCGACTACGAGTTGGGCTAGCGGTGGCTCGCAACAGAGGCTGGGAGGTATGATCAATGGCTCGACTAAGGGGACGATGACCTGATAGTGGTGGTGCATTGTGAAGATGGTGGTGAAGGCTGCGAAGACGGGTTTCCGCGAAAGGGCGGTCCGCGGTCGTGAGACATGGTGGTTCCGGTGAGGGTGATTGGGCACGTCGCCAGCGCGGGGAAACAATATGTGCGAGCGGTCGCGATGTAATGGTTTATGACTTACGTTTTCTAAAATATGGTCATCACTCTTAGAATGTTCGATAATCGAACTATCCTAAGAATGAGGTTTGTTGAAACATACAAGGATATGAATGTTGAACATACATGGATATGAAGCTTGTAGATTTTGATGATGATTCAAGAACAAAAGACTTAAAGATTTGAAGACTTGTAATATTATGTAATAACTCTGTTTTTATGATTTTTGAGTCTGTAATTTTAGAGTCTAAGATAGCCAGCACATAATCTACTCTTTAAAAGCTTTAAAAAC